TATCGACAACACATCCTGGAAAGTAAACGAGATTTTTTAAAGCTCTCACTCAGCTAACAGAAATACTCCCATTCTGTTCTGACTCAATACATCTATGTGGGTTTTGGCAGTACCAAACCTTCTAATTATTAAAAACTTCCAAAATTTGAGCACCGTAATGCGGGTAGCTTTCTTAAAAGTCGAAATTTCTTCAGAATTCCTTCCAAATTTATTTTCTACGAGGAACGAAGGCACCCAAAAATTTATTGAAATAATACCACTCTAAGTCAAAACTTTATTAAACTAATCCCACCTTAGATTATAATTTTCGGACTATGGCCGTTCCACATTTTTCATGCTTTGGACCACCCGTTTGTTTCAGAGATTACGGCTCGGCCCACCAATGGCCGCAAATCATTTTGACAATCTTATCCCACCCTTCGTTTTAACTTTCTGACTTCGACCGTCCACAGTTTGGTTTCTTTGGACCGTCCACTTCTTTTAACGTTACGATTTGGCCTTCTGACGGCCATGATTTATCACTCCTCGTATGCATTGGTACCAATTTACCATCGAAACGAATGAACGAATCGTAGAGGGACTAACAATCTCAGTGGCAAAGACAAAACTTTATAAACGGGTAGCATGAGATCAACGCTACTTGCGAATACATTCCACCTAGGTTTAGATAGCGCCATTTCTGCACTCTGTGTTCATGCCGATAATTCACCGGCATGAACACAGAGTGCAGAAATGGGCAGATAATTAAAACTCAGTTTGAACAAAGTATTCTAAGAGCAAAACGAAGCCAGCTGTTTATGAAAAGCATCAGAAAATGTTACCTGAACATCCATAGACAGGGCATCCAACAGTGTAGCCATTTTGCGGGAAAAACCTGAATTGATTCTCAGTGAAAGCCGTTTTGAGATATGTAGTAAAGCATTCCATACAGGTCTGGTGCTCACAATTCAACTGCACAACAGCCTAAAGCATTGAAATGAGGGTCATATTATTGCAAACTGAAAAATTCTTTTCCCTGAGCTGCCAAAAAAATAGCAAACAACTTAAAAAAACCACAGTTTCCGAACAAAATTTCAGAATCATTTCTTATAAGTACACATATTATTCAGTCTAATGGTCTCCTCGTGTTTCACACACTGGAAAGTTAAGAGTCCGTTAAAGTCTCTTCAGCACACATCAACTATCTGAGCGATCTCGGCATTATAGCATCACAACGGCCGTATTGACAAAACCTGGTTGTGGTGCTGAAAAGGAATGTATACGACTTAGCGGACTGAAATATTCCTCTTCACTTTTATTTACATTTTCTAAAAATTAATTTCCCATTTCTCTTGCCTCTTACTGAAGGATCGAAGGAGCAAATCTGCTAACGAGAACTAACAAAACCAACGCAATATATAATGTACGCTAAGATTAGAAGAAAAAAGGCTTTACTTTCATTTGAGATTCATAACAAACTGAGCAGACGCCTTCCCGTGGACCACGTACATGCGTTAATGGTACTGCTACCTAAAACAGCATGCTTATAAATCCGAGGAAATCTTCGGAAAAGCTTCCAGAAACTGGATCGATCGCAGCAGAATACTACTAGCGTACATGCGGTTGTCGCTTATGTGGCTTGTCAAGTAATTTGGCCTGACAAGATCCCTGCATTCATCTATTTATGCAGCCCTTATGGAACTTGGGAGGAAAACTGCAGCACGGATGTTCACGTGTGTGTACTGGAGCTTTCTGTCTAAAAATGATACAGTGATTATACAGAAAAACACAGAATTTTGAAAATGAAAGTATTTGGTGGACAACGTAAGAACATAGGGGAACAGTAGATATTTCATCCCTTAGCTGTAAACACAGGCAAAGTAAAGTGCACCCTTAGCAGCGTACAGCCTTAAACTGATATTGCACTGTAGTTTGCGTCACTTTCAAGTTGGAAAGCAACGTTTTGATTCCACCACTGGTATACTCTACTCCTCTACATATGCTTCTACGCAAATTGGTTCTTTTAACATGTGAGAGAGAGCTAAAATCGACATCAGGCTGTATTTTAATAAACCTCGAAAGAAGGAGGCATTAGAATCTTTGCTAG